ACAGACATTCACATGCATCTAGTATCGGGTGCGCTTTTTCGAATGCAGACCTTTATACATTTTAACAATGAAAAGTGCGAATGAATGGAACATTGCTTTCTTCAGCCGGAAACATTTGAATTTTAAAAATTAGTTGAATGCGGTTTTTTTTCATTTTTTAGATACTGCAGTAAATGAGAATAACATCTCGGTTTATTTGCCCTAGGGAGTTAAACCCCAGAAATTTTAAAAATTCACTCTTCTGCTGTCAATTACATTGTAACAATGGCTTTGCAAGTTTTAGGGGATTTTTAATTTAACATTTTTTGCAGCTGTTAGTTGACTATAGAGTCTCTGACTTGAATGCGAATAGCTGTACTGTATCACTATTGATTCCCCCATTCTTTAAACCCAGAGATAAATTTGGGGCCCATTTTTCCGAAATAGAAAGGGGCTAAAAATTGATGCAAGTTTTGTCATTGCAGTAAAAGCAGTTCCAAGTGTGCATACCCTTTGCCAGAAACATTTTTCTATACTGCTAAAAGGTATTTTTTAAATACTGTGCTGTATGAGGCTTTTGTTATGATCTAAATAAGGTAATGTATATTGACTTTGTACCAAAGGTCCAGTGGAAACTAATGTACTTTTGATTCCCTCATGAAAAAGTAATACTGTACATCACATGATCGGCTTCATTACGCAGAAGGTTTGTGATTCAAAACATGATTTCCATCAAATCTCCCTGGACAAAAAAAAATCTAGCATTTTAGAATGGCATTCTTAGTGCAAAACATTATTTTTTCAGTTTTAAATGCCAAATATTTAATTTATCCCAGACACTCACACAAAAAATTCTTTGGTGGACCATAAAAACCTTTGTATTTCAGCAAGTTATTCTGAGCCTTAAATTCAGGTTCTGAAATCCTGGCAATTTTAAATTCTCAACTTTCTGAAATCCATGGTCTTGTGTTCAGAAGGTGTAATCATGTAACATTTATCCTCTCTTCTACAAAGTTTCATTTTTGAAAAAAAAAATAAAAGCTTGAACTCTAAATTTTTTCTGAAATTTGAGGATTTTTGTTGAGAAAATTTCAACATTCCCCTCAAAGTCAGATAATTTTTTTTAGTAAATTCTTTCTTCAGAAATTGTGCTTTGTGCATTCTTAGGCAGGCCCTCTGTTGAGTGGAGGCCAATTATTGCATATTATTGTAATTTCAAGCATGTATCGACTGGAAAGTAATTTCTGTAGAATTTCATTTGAGATATCCCACGATTAATTCCTATAAGTCTTAGCGGCATGAAACATTGCTCAATCTACATCACACCGATGCGAAGTTTTGGAAAATCTCTCCAGATAAATTCCCATGTACACACAGCAGTGCGTTATAAGCTTATAACTGTACAATAGCTGCATGTGAATGTTGTAAGGAGAAAAATACTTAGGAAACATCGATAGACATATGTGCAAGAAATTCTATATTACAGTGCGATTCTCCGGCGCATCAGTTAGCGTCAATATTATGCTGGGAAGAAACCGTTTCGCGCATCATCACACACCATCATTCCACCTCGCCGGCAACCCTGGCCATGCGGTTCGGTTCATTCCGACTCTGGCAATGCTGAAGGGTATATACAGTATTGCTCAAAGCGCTATCCGATTTTTCCACCATGCAGCAGTTCACTTCATTAACAATACACTTTCGTCATAACGGTCCTTCTCGTCGTCGTTTCCATCGCACGGATTGGTCTTGTCATGATGGTTGTACACGGCAGATTTTATCTTTTTACCCGAAGAATAGATCGATCAGTAAGAGAGAGTTCTATGTCTACACACGTCGAATCTTCACTTTCGCCGAGTGCATGGTAACCGGCGCGCGGATACTCAGCAGTATAGCGACCTCTGCATGAAGACCGTGGGCAGTTTCAACCTGAACCTTGTGATTAGACCCCTGAGGTTCAAGGAGCTCCTGCTGATGCGCACAGCAAGAGTGAGAATGCTCCGTGCTGCTGCTGCTGCTGTATGTTTCTGACCAAGTGAAGGATTATAATTGTGGCATATAAATCTTTATTCTATTTGACCTATGCGTTTGGCTGATTTTTCATTAGTATGCTGTATATACAACAAGTATGTATACGCACGCTGTGTTCTTGAATAAATGGCTCTGTAAATCTGTAGAGCACTGTATATATTTTTCTAAATGTGTCTTTTTGTGTCTAGTGTATATACACTATATATGTGGATGGTCTATCTTGTTATCTATGCAACAAAATTCAAGGGACCAGAAATTTTTTTTACAGATATTTTCATTTTAGAGAACCCCTACAATAATGCAAGGCTAGAAATATATATAGGACTGAAAACCTTTTTCTTTTTACAGAGATTTCAGAGATTATAATTGGAGAAGATATTATTGTAGAGACATAGAGTCCATCACTTGTGTATACTGCGTATGACTATATATAGGGTCATTTCAGTTTACTTAACTAGCCTTTGCTGAGGTATAGATAGTATCACATTTATTATATCTAACTTAGTCAAAAACTATCCTCAAGTTAGATATTAATCCATGTTTCTTGGATATAATGGAGGCTATACAGAATAGATATGATATCTTCAGCAGCTTGAAAAAAAAAATCGAAAATTAAATGAATTCAGGTTTGATTCATTTTTCATATATGAAGCTGGGTTTGTTATTTAAAAAAACGTTTAGTTTCACTGAAAATGGGGTGAGCATCTTAAATGGGATATGATTTTATAAAAATGTTAGGCTGCAACATCCAGGCAAGGGTCTTCTGCACGTGAGTGCACAAGGTATTTCAATAAATACGGTACACAATGGCTTGAAATGCTTTCTTATATACCATTCATAAAGTCATATGGTCAGCCACGTAGTGCGGCAGCACCACAAAATGTATACTGTACTGCTCAGGCACATGGAGCAGGCCACGCATGGCAACAGCACCAAACGCTTCACATCAGCTTAACTTAGTTCATTTGAGGTTGCGCAAGAAAGGGAACTTTCACTACTCGCACTGGAGTACCTTGGTATTTTAGTATTACTGTATCTCCCTCATCTACAACGGTTCTGCGGACCCAAGAGCATGTATATAATGATGAGCTTCTATAGACTCCATAGTACACTACGCTACAGGATTCCAGTGAGGAAATCGCACATCCTGATGATGGAATAACTCATTTCCTGACTGATCCCCTGGCCATTTTACCACGTTTTTACCACGTTTTTATGACCTCACTTTCTTGTCTGTCTGTTTGTCCGGATCAAATTTTGAAACTCAAATTTCACTCACTTCCCGACTAGCTATCAAGCTGAAACTTTCAGGATAGCCTAGAAACTGATGACAATGCAATCTTATGTGAAAAAATTAATTTTAAGAATATTTTTTAAAAAGAATAAAATAATTATAGTAGATTTCTATAATAAAACTTTGAGCAGGTTTTCCTTGGCCCCAAGAAAAAAACCCATGGTGAACTGAATTGGTCGCAGAGGTCCGAGTTCANGTGGTTTTTTAGATTAATTTTTTAATCTACTATAATTATTTACTGTTGAGAATCACTTCGACTCTTGGATAAGGCAAATATACTGTAATATACAGATAAGGTAAAATAAATAAGCGCGGACTGTTGTTCATTTGCCTCGCTATTTTCAAGTGGAATGTACTATATACGTACTCCCATGTCAGATACCCTTGTTGCATTTCCCATCGGTCACCGCTAATGTGCATTGATGAATATTTGATTACATACTACATATCTATCAAGGTCTGCAGGGCTCATGACCAAGAGAATTTCAAGGTGGCTGCTTGTAAACAGTACTGCTGTATAGTTTTGTGTCAAAATAAAATTTTATGAATGGTCTAGCTTTCACTCAACTCTGCCTACTTCTTAATTGCGTTTGAAAGAGTTCCTGCTGGCATTGCTGTGAAATTAATTCATTCATCAAGCATCACTGCTGGGATATATTCATCTCCTTGTTCTTGAAGCAGAAGAGAATTCACGGACTCATCCATGTCTGCGCGTCTGTGCACTTCTGACAAATCTGAATAACTCCTGAATTACAGTATAATTTGCATTTCAGCAAAATTGCAGCAGCAGTAATTGTGGAAGAATATACTATAAAATTTATGCTGTACTGCATTGTACTGTAATACCGTATTTACTCAAGTACCAAACGCACCTTTTTCCCCAAATTTCAGAAGAAAAAAAAGGGATGCGCTACATAACTGGGTACAAAATTTTCAAGAAGTTCTAGGAAGTTATGTGCGGATTATACTTGATTATAATGGAGAAATTGGGAGCAAATGTAACAAGAAAACGTTTTTTTACTGAAAAAATTGAAAATTTATTAGATTTTTGTTCAATTCATGCCTAAAATCAAATTTTTTGTTTTTATTTGCAAAATTTTGTGGTTTTAGATTCACTAAAGATTACGGTGCACTTCTTACTCGGGGATGAGATTTTAGCAAAATTTCCAACTGAAAAACCCCTCTGCGTGCCTTATTAGACGGCAAGTGGCACTTGAGAAAATACACAGTACACTTATGGTAGGGTACTCTCATTCTTTGAGAGGTCCTGGGGTCCAATGGAAAAGCTCTGTGTGTCTGCTCTTTTACCTGTGTAATTGAGAACAGTCTTCTGGAAGACAGAGCAGTACCGTCTTGGCTCCTGAGGCTACGCGACTGTTCCAGAAGTAGTTTGTGATTCAGAAATTTTCGTGGTGTGATGAACGCCTATACGGAAAGGTGATGAGTTGAGATAGGTGTACGAAGCTTCAGGAATTTACTGTGTGATCCATTCGTTTCATTTGACTTGTGTCTGTTCGTTTTTGCGATGTTGTCGATAATTTTTGCGGATTAAGAGATATCATCCCGTTGAAACGTGTATCCAATGACTTGAATCCGGGCGATCACGATGGGTGACCTTTTGGGTGGAAGCTGACGACCTCGAATCATCAAAAAGATCTGGAATTCCGGGTTTGTTCGTTTGCGCTTTTAAACGTTTGTTTGTTGACATATTTTCAGGCTTTTGTGACCTTTTTGAAATTGGTGCTGAGAGCCATTTTTACTTCGAGCAGATCTACCATACCGAGTTTTTCAGTGTCATATATGACGTTGGACACAATATTTGGTGAGTACTCATCGTTGTCGCATGCGTAGCGTACATCGAGAGGGAAAATTCTGTTCGTTTTGCAGACGGAAGGTCGGAAAGGGTGCTCCCTTCGAGTATCACCGATTCAAACGTTCGGAAAGGGCCCTCTGGCTCAAAATTTTTCGAGTATATGTACGTCGCACATGTCGAGCCCGCTTCGGAGACTGAGTCATCCTGCCATAGGTAATAATTCACGAAACTGTAGTGGAAATAGTCATTAAATTTGCCTGTCTCTTATCTTCTAGGGCGGACGAGTCCTCAAGTCTAGATGAGCTTTGGAAGCTGCAGCCATTTCGCTCGTGACTAGCCTAAGCATCACGCATTGGATTTCATGGTTCCACATTTCGCTCGTGACTAGCCGAAGCATCACGCATTGGATTTCATGGTTCCACAATTCAGCTGATGCTACTCTTCTGGATTCTTCAACATTGAACCACGCAGTCGTCATTCAATCTTCCGGAAAGCCGCTGAAGATCATCCCCTTTCATTTTTGTTCTGGATACCATTCGAAGTCTTTTTGTGAGCCGTGAAACAACCAAGGCATTACCATGGCTTCGTTGAACGTCAACCGCAACGTCACAGATCTCTATTACCGCTACAAGATGCCTAGAATAATGGCTAAGGTGGAAGGAAAAGGCAATGGCATACGAACTGTCATACTGAACATGGTTGAAGTCGCACGATCTCTTGGTCGCCCTCCAACTTGTAAGTAATGCGAGTAACGTATGTACATGAATGCAGTGTAAGACACGGTTTTTGACGCATAGATAAGAATTGAGGTTTCCGCGAAAATCGATAATGTATTTCGTTAATGTACGAAGTGCAACTTTTGGGATTGGAGACAATTTAACGTACTTGACCGTCAGAAGGTTAACTTCTTCGACATCATTTTACCACTGAAGATGGTGATAGAGCGTCTTATCGTTGCTAAAACGATGAAATACGGCGAAATTTATGAATGTTTTCGATGAGATTAGACATTACCTTTGCAGATACGACCAAGTATTTCGGATGTGAGCTGGGAGCTCTGACAAGGGTCGACTTGAAGAATGATCGTTACATTGTCAATGGATCTCATGATGCGAATAGACTACAAACGCTGCTTGATGGATTCATCAAAGAATATGTACTATGCCGTGCATGCGACAATCCTGAGACTGTTCTTCTGGTCTCCCAAAAGAGAGGCACGATCGACAGAACTTGCAAGGCCTGCGGTCATCTGAGCCACGTTGACCTGACGCATAAACTAACTGCTTTCATCCTCAAAAATCCACCTGGTTTGTAAAGCATAGTTTATGTCGTTTGAGGAACAAAGTTTGATTGAGAGTTCGATATATTTTTGGCAGAGGATTGTAAGAAGAGCAAGAATGGAGGCGGAACCGAAGCTGCCGATAACAACGATGACATAATGAACCATAGCCCTACACATGAGGTTTGTGTGAACTCGTGAAATGTATGAGTGATTGTAGTAAAGTTTCGAATTCTCTACGATCTCGTCCACCCATTTTTCTCTCGGTTTTTCTTTGTGAGAAACGATGACTTGCGAAACAAAAATTTGTTGTAAACGAATTTAGGTCTTTAGGCATATCACTGTTATCCCGAAATTTGTGTCGTCTTATTGAAAGACGCGTTAAATGCCGATGATTTGACTTCTATGATTTTGAATCAAAGGAAGCAGATGATGACGATTGGTCAGTGGACGTGAGTCCGGAAGCTGTGAAGCGTCGCATGGAAGACCTGAGCAATGGTGTCAAGAACTTGGCTGTCACCGACGACCTCGAGAAAACCGAGAAGGTGACTTGAGGAAATCCGCTTTCCGAAATTTGAAATGAAAACTGCACGAAGTTTCGATTTTCTTTTTGTGTGATACCATTGTTTTGATCTCGTGTTCTTCAGGAGCGTATTGATATCCTGTATAATTACGTGAAAGCGAAGAAGGAAGCCGGAAAGCTTGCGGTCGCTGGAGTTGATAAAGACATCTTGAACGAAGCTGAACGTCTGGACGTTAGGGACAAAGGAACATTGGTTCTCGCCGAGTTGCTGTTCGATTCATCCATCTTGTTACAGGCAAGTTTCATTGATTCCAACGTTCGACGCGGCGTGGAAAATATTTCCAATTACAGTATTCAACTTTTTGTTCCATGAAGCGAGAAAATCTGATTGGATGTCCTCAATGAAGAATGGCAGTTGGGCCCCAAAACACGAAAGATTCAACTTACGGATATTTAAAACTAAAAAATAAAATGTTATACATGTTGACTACATCTTGAGATAGGGACACTTTTCCATTATTCCTAAAAAAAATGGTGAAATTTTCTGAATTTTACTGTATCTCTTGAATAAATTGAGCTATTATATTCAAAAAATCAAAAATTAATTTCCTCATAAATTACTTCAGTTCATAACTAAAAAAAACTATTTAATTTTGTGCTGTTTTCAGTTTTTTTCCATTATGTGTGCAGTGTTGCTAGACTTTTTATTTACTTCTTGATCTCCTTGCAATTAGAAAAGACCGGATTCTGTGTGGTTTTATTTTGCGCATTTATTCCCTATAAGGCCTATATCTTGAAGTTGACCATTTTTTTTCATTTTTAAGGAGTTCATTCCTATTTTTTTGATGACCAAGGGAACTAATTGCATATGTTACCATTGAAGTCTATGGGAAAACGTAAGCTAATGTACAGATGCTCCAACATGAGTACATGGTCCAAGCACCGATTATGTCCGCATCCCGGGGCCTCGCCCTATACGGACTGAATGCTGAGCTGCTAATTTCAAAGTTGAAATTCTGGTGTCTTCGCGTTCGTTGAATTAATGGCTCAAAATATCTTGCGTGTCAAATTTTTATCAAGATGGGAGATGCTCGGGAAACTCCGAACATTATTTCTTTTCCTGACACTTTTTAACTCTTTCAGGCGAAGCTTCACAGACTGCTGTTCCTTCGCTTTTGCCACGAAAATCCGAAAGCTCAAAAGTACTTGCTTGGTGGGATCGAGCAAGTAATTTCAATGAACAAAGTCCTCTTGCCGAAAGTGAGCCACATTCTGAAATCCTTCTACGACATGGACATTCTGGAAGAGGACGTTTTGCTGGATTGGGGTAAAAGAGTCTCGAAGAAGTACGTGACTAAAGAACTGAGTGAAGCCATTCACACCAAGGCGCAGCCCTTCATCACCTGGCTGCGCGACGCTGAAGAGAGTTCGTCTGAAGAAGAAAGCGACGAGGAAGATGATGTTGAGGTGGGTTGAGAATAAGGCCTGTAGAAATTTTCTTGTGGCATATTTTGTAACTTTCTAGGCATCAATTGTTATACTGTACTGTGATATCTCGTTACCTAAATAAAAATTCTTTTCAAACTCGAAAAAATGCTTCTGATGAAAATCTTGTTAAATCAATCTGAAACATAATTAAAGGATTCCTGAGAATTATGCCACGTTTTCAGAAGATAAATTGGAGCCAACATCAATATTGATGGAATCTCGTTGCCTGTGCAAAGACTTGTTGACCTGGAAAAAAGGCTTGTGATAATGAAAATCTCGTGAAGTTAATCCGGAACATAAATTCAAGATTCCTGAGGATTACACGGCGTTTTCATCACATAAATCAAAGCAAATGCAATAACAATATGAATGGAATCTCGTTAACTGTATGAAGCCAATTTGACCTGGAAAAATGTTTGATACTGTAATGAAAATTTCTTGGAACCAATCCGAAACAAAAATCAAAGATTCCTGAGGATTACTTCGCTTTTTCGCCAGATAAAATCGGAGCAAATTTCAATACAGGTACCTTAATTTAATACCCTAAATCGATTTATGTGCAACGCACTTGTAGTGAACCCGACCAAATGTATTTTCTGGTCAAACCGTTCATCTACTACAGTATTTCAAGTACTGTATAATATTTTTTCGATTGAAATTCACTCAATTTTTTGATTGGGTTTAATACTTCACAAATGAGGAAGTTTCTTTGTTTTGGGGCCGTTCTTTGAATTAAGTTCTTGTGCGGATTCCTTTGGGATAGATTCCGTTTTCATAAAATTAAAACTGAAATGAAGCCGTAACTTGTTCCTGAACACTCGATTTTTGGAAATTCCTGATCTTTTCACTATGGCTTTCCAAACATGGACATTTTATGCGTACTCTCTTCTAGAATATATGTTTTTAAAGGAATATATGAAATTTTTCATGAAAATGTCCATTATTTATAGATATCATACGACGATCGAGCCTCTGGAGCGAAAATCAAGCCAGTCGTCCAAACCAACGGCGCGAACCATAATGAAGCGGATGACTTCGACATAGACACCATTTGAAAGTCACCGGCCAAAGTTGGAAGATCATCAACTACATTACAAACCGCGTTTGAAAAAGGAAAATGATTACGACAAAGCAGATAGGAATTCTTGTTTCAAAGACCACATGCTCCTTGTGGACATGTGTATATTCTATCGCTTTCAATTTTACGTGCAGAAAATCTTGTTCGTTAATTTGCTGATTGGCACGTCTGCGTTGGGTTGGTGTTGGGAATCCTTTTCTTCCACTTTTTTTTAATGAATGAAGGAAAATGTATTGAAAACGTTCCCTGTCGCAGTCGTCTGGTATTTCCAGGTTTAACGAATAATCACGATATGCTATACTGAAAAGCGTCTCGATTTTGTTTTCTGTTCAGATAAAGTGGGATGCGAACATTCGGACATCAGTTCAGGTTACAAGAAGTGTTCAAATAAAATTTAAAATGTAACCAAAAAAAGTATTCACCATTCTGAGGTTGAAGAACACATGATCCGGATTTTGTGAGTGTTCAAGCTGGTAATTGAAATATGTCCTCTAAAAATTATAGTCCTGTGTACTGTAAAAATTGATTTCATCTTTCATTCGCAAGTACAGTGGGCCCCCATCTTACGTCATCATTCCAGGATGGATGTTGTAACATAGGGCCGTCATAAGTTGTAACCCTACTTCCCTTAAGGTTACATTATAAAAAAATTAATTTGTTCCAGAAAAAGAATATTAAACTAAAATTACCTTTATTTTTCAACTTTTTGTCAGAAATTGCATTAATAGACACAAGACATGTTTGAAAGACTGTAATTTTTGCCAAAGGTCCAATATCATCAGTAATTTACTCACTGCAAACATTCTACCAACAGAAGTTATTTAAGGCAGCTGTGAAATAATTTCCAGACCTGTCAGAATTTCTTAGGGGGGCAATCATTAAAACAGATTTCCAGGGAAACAGCAAAGAAAATGTTGTTACAACCTGAATATTAATAATGTAATCAGATTTTTCAAATCATAAATTTATTTCCTCAGCTCAAATTTTTTTCCGGCCACATTCAAACATAGTCAAGAAAAAAAATCACATAGATCCCCATCAGAAATATTTGTCTCGCCATAAACAGCAAAATTTTCATAATGCATCTTCTCCACCAGATGTTCTTTTTTGAGGTAATCTGTGATATTATTTTTGATAATTCTTTGGACTTCGGATACAGATTCAATTTAGAAATCATGGCTTGCCCAACATTAGCACAACAAAATCAGCAAGCACCGCAAACAGATGACCTTTTCTTGTCAGCTGCTCATCTTCACAAGGTTTTCTTGGCTGAGCAGAATATTGCGGAATTTCTCAAGCACTACGTTGGCGCCGTTGAAAACAAAGCTGGCTCAAGTAAAATTTTTGCAGTGCACCAAAATAAGTTGGCAAAGAACCGAAGATAACATTACCCAAAGCTTGTGCAGAAAATGGATAGAAAAAAATCATCCTCAATAACCATAAGTGACTGGCAATATTTTCCCCGATTTATATAGCACAAACATTCCAAATCAAATATTTTCCGCACTATTTTCACTTTCTTTCTCTTTCTAAATAAATTTAATTTCTCAGAATTACTGAAAAAAAATATTCCACCTTGAAGCATTTTCCTCAGAAGCTGTCGTATCATGAAGCCCTGACGTAAGTCTGGGGTTTTTATGAATAAAAAAGCATCGTAACTTGAAACCGATGTAACATGGGCCCGTTGTAAGTCGGGGGCCCACTGTAATGGGAACTGTCTCAATTTTTAAACCATACAAATATCATGATTATGGTACATTCGAGAAAAAATAATACTGTACTGTATATGTAATTTTGTATTGACCAACGATGTATTGGAGGTGCCATCAATAAGTGTATGCGAGTCGTGCATTTTCCACTCAAAACTCCCTGGAAACGAATTTATTCAAGAGACAACGAAAAATTCGTGAAAGCTTTGCACGAACTTTGAGAAACGCGTAATGCAACAATTCCAAAAATCAGCATTCAACAGAACCAAGTGTTCATGATTTTACTGTACATCAATATACAGTATCCGGTGTTCTTACAATCCTAATTGTATGAGAATAACAGAACTTGCAATGGTTTTGTAAGATTCTCCGCTTTTCATCACTTGAAAAGCAAGGGGTGTTCTTCATATTTCTTGACGATCCTGGCAACAATGTCCGTAGTGGAGATACCGAGGGTACGTGAAGTGGTTACGAAACGACCTGCGGCTTTCACATGCTTGTATGCGTCTGTTGTGCCAGGAAACAAGCAGGGAAGTTCATCGTGTGCGATGAAATCAATCTGTAATCATCCAATTGTGCTTTTGTTGATTCATCGATTATTTATTGATTTGAATATGAAAGCCAAGGATTTGAAGACCTTTTCGAAGGACAACAGAACATTTTCAAGTTCCAAAACCTCACCTTCAAAGTTTGCAGAGTGTCAAGCGTCATGCAGCCGAATGGAAAATCAGGGAAGACCTCGTCCACGTGCTTGCAATGGCGAACTGCTTCATATCTCGTTTCATTGGGTTGTACGTTGGGTCCCTTGTACTTCAGACAAGCTTCTTGACCAAGAACTGAAGAAATTTAGCACATACATGATAGCATCTTACGAATATGGTACTTGGTGGTACTTCAAGTTCCACACAATAAGTCGGGAGAGTATTTTTTACTCTCACGTTTGCGGTTGGCTGTGATGTAGACCATGCCGTCTACATCACCCGAATTTTTCTTCATTGACGGCCTACCATAGGTAAATTATTCAAACCATACAAAAAATCTGTACCCATCTCAAAGCTTGCAAATTTGGGCAAGTTTCTTCACTCAAAGATATTTTGCGTTGATGAGTTGAAGCGAAGTATCATAACATCAATAAAAATTGTATAAATAAAGAGTATATTTTTTGGGTGTCTGGAAAGTTTTTATCTTTAATTTACTACATTATTTCATCTCTTGCACATTGCATTATACTTTTTTGAAAATAGTGATCATTAAAAATTTTTGACACACTATCAATAAATGAATCAGAATTAGTTATCTAATCTCTATATATGAGACAAACAATTGTTTACTATGATATGCATCTTTGATAGAAGCTTCTCATGGAGTAGATCTTTGATCAATTGGACTGATGTGGAATGCCATTTTGTCCACATAATCAAAAATGAAAGAAAATATTTTTTTAAAAGAAATTGCTTGCACCAATTTGTTGTCTGTAGGTTTATATCATGAATGAACAAATGCTGCTATGTAAGGATTTTGACACAAGAAAAAATTAAGCAATTGTATACTGCATGTCTCATGCATATTTCATGGTTGGTTGTTAGAGTATAATGAAAGTATTACCTCCTGCAATGAGATAAACATTGGGGAATGCTTCCTTGGCTTGTTTCAGCATGTTCATGTGACCAAGATGCATCAAGTCATAGACTCCAGTTGCTAAGACGCGTACAGGTCTGTCAGCTATGGAAAATTTTAGTTTATCAATTATACTTCTTATATATTTTTTCAAGAGCAACACACACCGTAAATAACTTTTCTGATTATTCATTTTACACAGTTAAATCCCACTCAATAGAACAAAGGTATACCTTTTCCAGATTTAGCTTCTTCAAAACTGATCGGACTGAAGTTGCAGTCATGAAATGCATCAAGTGCTGTGGGTTCATAAGAGAAAGGTGCTGGTTCATTGTTCCTCTTACAAACACTCATTTCTTTGACAGAAATTTCACTGAAGAAAAGTATTTTCAGCAAATTATCAACAGGTTTAATCTTAAAAAAAAAATGTTCCTCCTAAAGCTGCATACTGCGAATTTAAATTGAAATAAACCCTTTCACACAACATCATAAAAACCACTATCATTCACTTCCACTCCTTGTGATTATACTTCCACTGCTGAACATGTTGATTTCTTTGACTTAAATCGGTCAAATAAATTATTCTGAAGTACACCGTCTACTTGGATATATTTCGCCGAGTTGATTAAATTCTGAATTTCTCTAATGTGATACGCAATTGCAGCTAATTTAACACCCAGTCTTCGAAGCAGACGCAGCTATGTGGAGATTTGAAGGGAAAAGTTGAACTGGCCCTAAAAAAAACACTTTTCCTACCATTTCACACGCTGTTTCTTTCTGGTACAATAGAATTCCTTAAAATGCTTCACCCTTCAACAATGATGCTTTTCACTGTTTATCCGTTATTTGTTGTAGTTAGATTCTGCTAATAAACGTGCAAAATGCTGGGCTTTAAACGATTTCTTTTTTTTTTTTTCATTCGGGGCTTCAAATTTCAACGCTGTTCATTTCTTATTCAAGCATCGAAAGTTTTCCAGAAAGTTGATTTTCTTATAGTTTTCATTTAGTATTAAAAAGTTTTGCAGTAAAATCAGTAAAAAAAACCTCTTCTCAAATTTTTTTAGCGCACTCATTTATATTTTGGCGAGATATAGCAAAGTTTTCTTCCTACCTGAGCGAATCATGACCAAGGAGACGCTCAGAAATACTGGATCATCTATTTTCTCACGCCACCTTAAATTTTGCTACACAAAAAGGGATATAAATGATAATATTTTCGCAGAAGACTAGCTGAAGGTTATTTTCAAGTTTTTAGAAAAAAAAATTTCTCGAACGAAAGACGACCAGGAGCTCGTCGTCAGTGGCGGCCTTAGGGTGGGGCGAGAGGGGCGGCTGCCCCAGGCCCCGCACTTGAGGAGGGCTCCGCTGTCTGGTGGTTCTGAAAATTGGCTGTCCCCTTGAATTTTTTTTTAACTTGCCTTGAACCTGGAAGGAGTGGGACCCTTCCAAAAGGATAAGTTTATTTTCAACTCTTGACAAAGTTTCCCACCAAGTGATCTGATCTATAAGTGCAGCACAACAAAGCCAAAAATGCATTCAGAAGAATATTGGCATAGGAGCTTTCCTT